TGTCCTAACACATGGCTGTGTTTCAGCAAATTACAAGGTTAAAAACAGAAGGAGATGTAGCTGGTAGGGCTGGCCAGTTACACTGTGATCTAAAAACACAAGTGATTTATTAGTTGCTATGAGCTAACCACGTCCTCTTCATTTCATCCGTGTATTTATTAGTTACAAGTATTAGGCAAGTATGAATTGTTCTACTACAGAAACATGTTTTTAACCCCTGCTTCTCTTTTTTGTGAGACTACAATAGGAAAATTTGAATTGTGGTTACTTTTTAAAAAGAAATCCTGTAACTGGCATTACATTTCACAGTGCATTTCAACCTTGAAATGAACATTAATCTGAAACTAATACAAAGAGTGCAAAAATTTCCATATTCAGGATAATGTTCAGCAGAAAAGAAAAAAACTTTGTTCATCTCTGCAAATAGCTTTCTTTACCTAAACTTTACCACATGACCAGAACAAGATTAAGAGAAATTTGTTTCAGATTTTTAGACACACACTCATCCTTCAACTTCCTTTTGCACACGGTTTTTGTGCAGCTGTGTACCGCTGGGTCTCCTGACCTCCTCACCATCACAAGGGGACAGTTCAATAAAGGAAATAGCACAGATTTGGTATATTTGATTTTAAATTGCAAAGCTGGACTCAGGTCTAGTAAGATGAAATACTTATGACTTAGTTAACCCCAAAATGATCTAGTTATTATTTCCTACAGTAAAAACAATAAAAAAATAAAAGTAAACAAAGCTAATTACTTCCTTTTTGCTATCTTTGCACGTACTTCCATGTACCTCTTCGTCCTCTCCTTTGTGACCTTCCCTTCCCCGTGTTTTCAGTTCTTAACTCATATTCTTTTATCTATAACATAGACAATGAGAAAACCCCAAAAAACATCTTTGGGGAATGTTGCACTAAAGTTATCCGCAACTAAATTGCACGTGTGTTCCTTTGCTCACCATGGAGACAAATGATTCACTCACTGCTCTCAGCCAATTTGAAATCCATATATGAAAATAGCATTACGGGATTCAGACCGAATCCTCTGCCTCACCGCTAGCAGGTGCAAGCAGAAGAAAAGCCCATGTAATTACTTTTGACTCTGAACCAGCAAAGCTGTGAACACCTCCCTTAAAAACACACATAATAGTAAGACAGCAGCTGAGAGGCAGGTGCATCAAAGAGCGTGTGCATGCTCTGCACAGGGTGGCGGCCATACCAGTCAGCTGGCCAGAAAAGTTCTAGCCACCCTGAGTCAAGAACAAATTCTTCTGTGAATCTGAAATCATGCCAAAGTCTTACTTGTTCTCCCGCAGTTTGTGTAATGCTAAATGCTTCTCGTTACATCTTTCCCTGGACTCTATAGAAAAAGTCTGGGTCATTTAAAAGGAAGACCAAATTGTAATACATTTTTAAATGAAGATTAGAAGTAAAAGGGGTTCTTTAATACATTCATTAGTTAATTTATTAGTCCATTACTGATCATAGAAATATTTATTAGGAACCCATTATGAACATCACTGAGCTAAAATATGCAAAGAATGCAAAAGCATGAAGCTAGAAAAATAAAATTAAGTCTAATAAATTGGTTAGCTTTAAACCATTCTTATTTGTATTTATAGTAATGTATCTTTATACAAATAGATAGATAGGTAGATAGATGATACATAGACAGACAGACAGACTGATTTACCTTGCAAGACCAATGTAATAATCTAGGCATTTAGTATTTATTTAAGGTGATTTCACTTTAAGCGTACATTATTACATTAAAAGTGAAGATTATGGTTAATCTGCAGTTCCATTTTTTTTTTGTGTTCCTAGGCCAATTTTATTTTAACATTCAAATTCCTAAAGGAGCTGAAAATTCAATAGTGTTTAGCACGTTAGAGAATTTTACTTGAAAAAAAATGAGTAAGAGTTTCTTAACAATAACAAAATTGCTCTTCAAAAAATTCTAAGGAAAATACTACTGCCAAAAATGAATTCAGCTTTGTTTGTTTTTGCAGCCATTGCTAGCAATAGACGAAAAGGTATCTTTTTTTTTTCAGTCCATATGGAAAGATCATCAACACATTCTGCCTCCGGGTTCTTTGCCAAAATATCGTAACCCACAACCATCTACCTTAAACATAAAAGGAAAGGTGTTGTTCTGGTCAAATAAAGAAATAATTTTTACTAGCATATGTCTAATGTTAAAGCTGCCTAAATTCTGCCAAATACATTAAAACAACATCTGTAAAACAGATTTTCATTAAATTGATCAGTTTAAAGTTAAGCAGCTAGGCAGATGATGCTTTTAAGCTAACCCCTAACCTTTAACTTTTAACCTCCTTAAACTAGAATAAAGACACACACTTCTTTTAGGTAAGACTGCTTCAGTTTGCCAACACATGGGATAAAGCGATTTATTCAAATCAAAATGACACATCACCACATTGAGAGCACTACGCGTCACTGTACTGTCAATAATGAGAAAAGCTGTTTTCTTGAAGGTCTGTATTTGTCTTACATGTGCTACTTGTCCCTTCCCTCTAAAGTCTAACTAATTCACAGCACAAAATGATATAAATGAAAAGAATTTTATACAGGAGATTATTATGTAGTCATTAACTCATTAAGTATTTTAAGTCTAATTTTAATATTTTAGCCACATGATAAAGCATGCTTTTTCCCAGGCCAGGCTAATTTGTTGGTCTCATGTAAATGCAAGCAATATTACTTATGAACCAATTTCATTTTGCCAATGCAAACCAACCAAGTGGCCTACTATCCTCATTACCATGCTTGAAAATCCTATGACTCACAAAGATTCTGAAATCAGTTTGGAATTAGCAGCTCCAATACGCTGCTACTTTGGAGTATTTTTCTAGTTGTTACTAGCAATGACGGATGCTCTTTGAAGGGCAATGTAAAAGAATATAGTTCTAATTATTTAAAACACATTTTCAATAGCACACATATTTTTTCTTCAGTCCTCTTTTAATTCAAGCTGTTTGTGCAAGGTAAGTTTTTGTTTGTTTGTTGACCATATGCTACACTAAGCAGTGTAATTTATCCAACTAAAAACCAGTAAATTTTTATATGATTCATAAGATCTTCAAAGTAAGATTGCATCATTTGCTTGTGGAGTCTAAAGCACTCTGACTTTTAAAGCCTTCTTTAGAATCAAGCTTTTATCTTACCTATTGTTCTAATTTCCAAAGCAATATCCAAATACCTCCCCAAAGGAACTTCCAGAGTAACTCTGACACCTAGCATATTGCCTTGCCCGGAGTAAGGTGGACAATCCACACTTAGAGAATATATGAGTCATCCTAACAGAGAAAATGTACACACCTCCGTACACCTTTAAATAACTATCAAACAATTTGATTAAATAACGTCTCCTGAAAAAATAAAAAGCAACATTCTTCTTCAGGTTCCCATGTGAGAGTAATAAAATAGAAAAATTTGTACATTTATATTGTCTATTCACAACACGTTAATTTAAAGTGTTAGAGGAACTGCGTGAATATAAACACAGTTCATGAATATTCTATATAGCTCTGAGGGTCTAAATCTATTATTTATAAAAACTTAATGTTTGTTTCTTTCTCCTAGGAATTCTAAAAGTTTTAATAGGTCAGGTAGCAACAGAGAAAAAAAAGCAGACAACTGAACAGTTGTCAACAGTTGCTGTAAAACCTATGAATTATAATACAATTAATCCTTCATATTATATTATCAATAGTGTTGACTTAGAAGTGTTCCATCTTTAGGGCATGTACTCCCCACTAACTGTGAAGCCCAAACCTAATGCTTTCATTATTGATCTACATAGTTGTCAATATCACAGGAACTACATTATGCATTTTCACACTGAATCTTTAGGTATTTATGCCGAGTACAGCCATCTAAAATATGAGCTTCAAGAAATAAAGTACTGCACCAGCCCAAATAAATAATTCTTGCACCTAATCCAGATAACCATTATCTACTTTTTTGTTGCATGTTTCTAATTTTAAATAGAATTAGAAAAGCTACAGGTATTCTAATTGTTGGTTGACTCCTGATAGAATAGTTATCACTGATTTCTAGTATGAATCAATAGATAACACTTGCAAAATGGATTTTGTAATCATGTTTAGAGCTTGTTACAATGACTAATGTTTTACAATATTTTCTGAATTTTAATCTCATCTGGACAAAAAGAAGTTTTTAGTAAGTCACCAAGTTTTTCATCACTGAAATAAATGTGTTACATTTGTACATGAACCAAGACGATCAAAACAATCCAGTGAACAAACATCGGAAAACAAATTAATCTGTAATTAAAGTGTAAAAAACGCCAAGATAAATCGTGCAATACATGCTGTTCATTGCTTGCACATACGCATTGCACCTGCATGCTTGTCCCAGGAAAAGTAAAAGCACATTTGCCACCCTATGAGCGTATCTATGTATATCACACCCCTCTGAAAGGCATCGCTAGTTAGGGAAATGGTCATGCACAGTGCCGGCAGAGTTTATTTTTGAAGACTTTCAACCGATGCTAAAGGAGAGTGTGCTTACTCAATGTCACAGAGAGCACACACACATAAAAAACGATTGTCACCAAACTAAAGATGACGCATTCGCGAAGTGAGATATTGTCTTTGTCCTCTGCTCCCTGTGACCACTAGGGTGGAGCTAATGTTTTTATCTTAAAAAATAGCAGGAGGTTTTTAAAGCATTGCATTTCATATGCCAGTACCCCAGAAAAGTTCCTTCATTGCAGGGAAGTCAGCGAAGCAAGCAATGCCACTGAAAGGTATCCCCGGGACGTAGGGTAAATCTTTAAAATAAATCCTCCACTCCATATATTTCAATATAATTTCAGTAATGTGAATCAGAAACTTTGTACCTTGTCTTTTTTCCCCTTCTCTCTATTTTTCTTAACTTGCAGACTTGTGCTCCTAGCTCTGAAACAGTTAATTCCCTTGTCTACTTGTGCCAACGGAAATGGATGTCACTGCTTACCTTGTAGAGCTTCAGGGCTGCCTCGTGCCTGTGATTGGTAGTATGCAAGCGTAATTTATCCACACTGTTGGTGTAGTAGTCACAAGCATTACATTTTAGGTGAACAGGGTTGCCAATGGCAATGCACTTCAACCTCCATTCATTGCTTTTGCCCCCTTCTTTGATGTGGGCCACCAGTTGGTATTTTTGCATATGTTTATCAGTCTTGCAGTGGAGCTGGAAGTTGGCTTTGAGCTGAGTGTTGTAGTTACAGAGCTTGCACTGGTAGATATCTCCAATTACCGCCCTCCATTCCTCTTCGGGGAGAGAGCGCTCGCTGCTCACATGCACACTTAGGGCCTCCAGGCTGTCAGAGGTGAATTTGTTGCAAACAGCACACTGGAATAGCTTCAGTGCTGGGTCACTGATATAAGGTGACAGCTCTCCTGCAGTAAGGAGGGACAGGTCATCACCCATTAGCTGACCACTGGCAAGCCGGATTTCTGGCGGCAGCTCATTATTTACTACAGGAAAAAAATTAAAAGGAAAAATAGAGACTAGAAAACACAGCACACACAAAGGATTCTGTAAAATAAAGTCTTGACAAGGAATGTGCTTTCTCTAGAGCTTAAACTATAAAAAGCTGTAATAGGATTGAATCAGGATCAATTACAATCATCCCTTTCAACTTCTAAATTCCCTCATCAGATAGCTTTAATTACTCCTACCGGGCATGATGTCATTCTGAAATTTGTATTTTCCAGGACAAGAAAGTTGATCAATACCATAACAAAACAGTCACGTGTTTGCAGTTTAAGAGCTCAGATAAACTTAGGTACACACTAATTGTTATTTCCCAATTTGCCTTAAAGCTTGATAAGATTTGGCTAATTTGGTACATGTGGCTGTAATCTATTGCCAAATACCTGGAATACGGTAATGGTACTAGTTAGCTTAGGTATCTTCCATTACAACCACTAAAATCATTTTTTTAATATTTAATGCAAAATAATTGTCGATTCCTGTTGAAGTGTGAGTTTGATGTTTTGGGGAATAAGCAAATCAAAATTGAAAACACACCTCATGAAGTAAGGCTGCTGATAGCAACAAGTAATGGAAATTAGCATTTGTTAATCAAGCTATTGAACGGGCACAAAGTTTGCTGGCTTCTCCTATGCTGCCATTGGTCCCTTAACCCTTAGCTCTCCAGAGTCCATTTAGCTTTGAAGGGGAAGCACAGAGAGTTTGCTTATGCAGCTCAAAGAGAAAAAGTCCTTTCTAGTAAACAGTCCCCAGCTTGCTGGCACTCACCGCTTCATCTGGGTGTGCTACACCAAATCAAAAGGTGATGAAAAGCCAATCACAGTGCAGAAGGACAGGGAATACTGACCGAGTCCAGGTGCCAAAGCCGCGGCCGTGGCTGGGTCCAGCTGGAATGGGTTGATCATGAGCTGAGGATCGGCGGGGTTCTCCAGCTTCATCCCAGTTAGGCCTATGTTCTGGGCCAGGTAGTACTGATACAGCTCTGCCTCCGCCGGAGCGAGGCCCAAGTGCAGGTTATGCTGGATCTGCTTCATGTTCTGCTGCAAAAGCATCATGTTATGCATGTGCTTCTCACTGGTCATGTGAATCCGGAGGTTCCTGGCCACGTTGGTTTCGTAATCACAAACCTCACACCGCCAGGTGGGTTTCTGTTTGGGTTTGGATGGAGAGGGTGTTCCGCAGCCACTGAGGCTGGTGTTGGGGGCTGGGGCAGAGTGGCCAAACACCTGCTCTCCGTTGCCATTTTGAAGATTCTGAACATTGTTCAAGTGCTTGTCTGACTGCATATGAATACTGAGGTTGCCTTTGGTAGTGGTAGAATAGTTACAGACCTCACAGCGGAAGGGTTTATAGCCACACGTGTAACTCTCTCCCCGGGCAAGCCTCGGGTGAGGCTGGCCGGTCTTACAATAAGCACACGAGCCGCCGGGCTCAGGGTGCTTCTCCTTCATGTGGGCCTCCAGGGTCTGCTGATATTTGTAGTGCCAGTTACATTTGGGGCATTTGAGGGTCTTGCACGAGTTCCTTGAGTGCATCATAGTCATGTGACCACCAAGAGACCTCGAGGACCCCAGAACCGTATCGCACTTTGGACACTCGATGCCGCTGCCTGGTGAGCCCTCTCCTCCGGGGCCTGGCGTTCCAGGCGCACAAGGGGTAAAGCCGTGCTGGTGCGGAGTCGCTGAACTGTCTTCCTCTCCCCGGGCAGTTTCACCGGCGTGCAACGCTGTGGCGCTGTCCTTACTGGCGCTCACATCTGCAAAGTCCTTGCCACCGATGCCGTAGCTGTTGGCCACACTGCCGCTGGGCCTCAGGGCAGCAGCCTGCTTTTTCTTTTCTGGGTCGTCAGAAACAGTCGCGGAGGAGGACGAGGTACCCTTTTCAATAAATTTTAGCACACTGGATGATAAAGGAGAAATGCTTTGGTTTAAGAGAGGGAAATCTTTGTTACCAATACTATCAGTGAGTTCACCTAACGCTTCCTCGTCGTCCAGCTCGTTGGAGTAGGCATCCTCTTCGTCCTCGTCGCCCGGCTCGGCGGGCTCGCTTTTGACGGGACACTCCCCGTTGGGGTGTAAGACGGTGCCTTCTTTGGGCCTTTCACAGTTGTTCTCTTGGTCTTTGCTCTCTGACATCTTGCTAGACTCAGACGATGAGTGGCTGAGGGAGACAGAGGTAATTGGGGTGTTCACTACTAAACTAGACAGCCCCCCCAGATTCATTTCAGCCTTTGGCATTTGGGTGATCCCCAGCGGCTGCTCTGCTGAGCTCGCGGGGCTCGCGCTCCCTTTCAAGAAGGCAAAGCCAGCCGGCAAAGAATCACCATTTTCAACATGAAAAGCGCTCCATAAACCGCGGAAGGTCGGATCGGGTCCTATGAGGTTCGTAGTAGAAAAATGGGGATAAACAGAAGTGGATTTTTTTGGTTCCAGAAAGCTTATAAGAGGTTCTTTGTCTTTGCCAATCCCCTGTATTATGGCGGAGATGCATTTATTACCGAGGAGCTTCTGCTCCTCGTCATTGAGGGTCATCCGATGATCGTGCACAGCGTGGGTTACAAACGACCTGATATAGCCGAAAGACAACTTGCACAAGAAACACATTAAAACAGGTTTCCTTTTCCCGTCGCTCACACAACCATCGAATTTGGACAAGTCCACATTGTTAGGGACATCTTTGGACACACAGGAGTTTTTGGCTGAGCCATCACTGGTTAGATAGTCTTTCTCTCGCTTGTGTCGGAGATCATAGACACGAAAACTGTGCAACACAGGACCAACTCCTGCTAATGCTGAGGTATTTGGGAAAGCCTGATCGGCTGTAAATGGTTTCCCGAGGGATGAAGCGATGTGAAAGGTGTTGATGATCTGTGGGTAGAATGACATAGGTGCAGAAGCAGACTGATCACTCTTCTCTCCCGCCGACGCCAGGGAGTCCAGAAACATCGCCGTGGAAAAGAGTTTGCTGTTCGCCCCAGTCTGTGCATTCTGCCCATTTTCTTTGGAGTCCTCAATTATATACGCTGACCCATCAGGCTGGTAAACTATCTCCCCTGTTAAATTCTCCACATCACTGTCCTCTAGCTCGCTGATCTCACTCTCGTTGTCATCCTTCAGGACGGGAAGGCGGGCATTAGGGCAGTGGTGTTCCATGTATTTCTGTAAACTAGGAAAAGAAGTGGCACATTCGTTGCAGGGTATCTCCTTTGCCGAGGTAACCTGAGTGGCAGCCGCATTCTCCAGGCTGAGACCCAGCAAGCCTTCGCTCTTGCGCTCATCCGTTTTCAGGCTGTCATCTGCGGAGCTGTTTTCCCTGTCAGACTCCATCCCTGCAACTTTCTCTGGCACCTCATTATCAAGTTGTGTCGTTCCACATAGCTTTGATGTGCTCTGCCCATTTTCCTGCCTTGAGATAGGAGGGGAGTCACAGGTTTCCATGGCAATTGCTACATGGGGATCTCATTTCATCCAGCCTGTCAGGGACCTGGATAAAAAATAAGGTGAGAGAAGCCATTTTTATTAAATAATGACACCGTTCACTAATAGCCCATCACTAATTTACAGCTGCTATAAACTTGACTATCTAAAAAGGTGAGGGGAAAAACTTCAAGCCATCATACCTATCTATCACAGGCAGGCTTTGTGTAAATGTAGCAAAGCAGTGTAGATCGCTATCACAGGCATGCCTAGACATCCAAGGTGTTTTTGAAATCACGGTGAGCATTCACACTGAATCTGAAATTTATATCAGTTATTCTGATCTTTTTTACTGCCGTTTTCTAAAACCAGGTACCTCTATACATAAATGCTTCCAAACCTCCTCTAGCCCAGTAGAGATGGAAATGACTTTCATTTTCATCTGCACCACCAGAAGAACAAGGCAAACAACTTGTAATTTTGAAATTTACTTTTTCTTTGCCAGGTAGTGACCAGAAGGGGAGGATGAGTGTGGGAGGGAAGCCAACAAATAAAGGAACCTTAAAATTAGAAATATTACAGTTAGAGATAGCGCAGACCAAACTCCTCTCTGGTTTTCATTTTGCCAGTAAATCAGCTTGCTACAAATCTTCCCTGTGCAAAAGCTCTCAGCAGGTGTCCGGCTGGCCTTGATTAAGCACCAATCGCAATTCTTCCGCGCACTTCAGTCCCCTCAATGGGCAACCGAACAGAAATTAATATTTACTGCGACCAATCCTATCATCCTAGGGGACAATCGCGCTCACTCGGTGTGCTTTTTTCCCCAGCAATACGTAATGAATACCATTTCAGACACCGTTCTGATGTTCGCAGTCCTGGTGAGTTGCTCACCTCCACTACAGCCTCCATCAACACGTCCCCCGGCTTAACAAATCACACTCAAGCACCCCCGATGAAAATCCTTCCATTTTTTTTTTTAAGTTTTGTTGTTTTTATTGTTGTTGTGTGTTTCTTGTTTTGTTTTCGCAAGTAGGTTTCGCAGACTATAAACTGCCTGTGTTGAAGACGAGATGTACTCAATAAAAGCCATATCAGTTTCAGGCAGCAGGAAAAAGTTGGGCATATGTCAGGAAAAAGGCTCTCTCTCCTTCTCTCTCCCCCCACCCCCGCCTCGTGCGCTTGCGCTTGCGTGCGTGCGCTTGCGTGTGTGAGCACGTGCGCATGCCTGCAAACTTCAGCTACTGTAATAGCAGCTTGATTACAGCTTAAGCTTCTCCGAGTCCCTGCAGATCTCTCAGTTTGCAGAATGATGGCACTGTACACAACAGCTGAGTGGTCTGAATCTTTAGTGTTTATTTTCAGCCTATGACACAGGCACTGTCTCAATTTTTATGAAACAGGTAAGCAACATTCTTTCAAATCTTAAAATTGAAGTAACTCATAACTTCAAGGCCAGCAGCGCCTTAATTTAAAAAAAAAAGAATCAACACATTCATTTATCCTGACAATTAATGAAACAAGAAAGGTTGATGCTGCTACCTTACTTCGCATATTAGATTGGTTATGATAGATGTGCACTCTCTCAGTCTGTATGCTCCTTCCGCCCCCTACCCCGGCACAGTCTTCCCAGTGCCAGAGAGCTAAAAGGAACACAAAACAGGATATTGGGTTTGCCAACATTACTAAGCATTTTAGAACTTCTTTTCAATGAGGTCTTTTAGAGGGAAGGTCACTAGCATACTAAGTATGAAGAATAGCTTATTAATACTGTCTTTAACAGTAATCAAATCTAATCCAGTCAACCAAATCAGAGAGGAAGTGATCAGTTCCAAATACATCAAAAGATCTACACAGATTGAAAATGAAATCAAAATTCGTTTTGGTAACTGAGATGGTGAAAGTGACATTCTAATTGCTCACGAATCAAACATCATAAAGCTTGGTGTGTAATTTTAATCATTGATGAGCTCCAGGTTAATTATGCTCATGGCATGCATGCAGCTTTTAAAACTCTCTGAAATAATCTGATAACCATAAGCATGAAAAATCTAATAATTTGCTAATTAGCCCACAAACATTAATGTTTACCTTTATCAGTTCTCCATAATATACGCATACTGAAGGTAGTCAAAATGCACAAAATATAATCTTCTGCTGGACTGACAGAAATGAGGAAGGCAGAAGGACACTAGAGACTTGTAGTGAAAGCAAGTTGGTAAATGAATGATGCTAGATAAAAATATAAAGTCCCAGAACCCAGGGTATTTTACCTTTCATGATAGCATACTCAACTAGGCTTGGTGCATATATCGGATACACAGAAGAAGATTCACATTAACTACACGTAGTGAGAAAATCTCTTGTCGTGGGAGCTATCTTTATTATTCTAATTCCATTCAGTCTGACCCCCACTACAGTTCTCAGATCACAAAAACATTTGCTAGAATTGTTACACACATTCTGAGTGCACCTCTGATGACTTAAGGTAAGGTGCAGATAATAATTTTGGCCAGTTAATGAGTAGACTCTGCAAAGTGTCATCTCAACATACAGCAGGTTGTCTTTTTACATGACTTTAAAAGAGCCAGAAGTAACTTTCAGAAAAGTAACACTATTGCTATATGTAAATAATAATAGAAACTGTGCTAAAGGATCCATCCCAGGTCATAGCAATGTGGTAGGCCACACTAGGCTGTACACGAAGTCACCTATCAATTTCCTCTCAAGAAGTTACACATTAGTTAGGAACTAAGTCAAATACATAAGACCTCCATACCACAAAACTTCTATTTCATTCTAATACCAACAATAAAAATAATAAAACTATTTCAACTGCTATAGCTAGTAACTGTTTCCAGGAGCTACTAACCATAACCACAGCAATCTTTACCGCTATATTCTGACAGGATCACCGTGTACAGTGAAAGTTGCTTACATCAGTAAGCAGTCACACTGAATATGCTGCTAAGTAATTTCATTGTCATCAATGTCAACTGAGGTTTTTCTTTTGCTAACATTACCCATTTAAGAAATTTATGCTAAAGTTTTATAAGTCCCAGTATGAAGGCCACAAAGACAACCATTTTAGCTGAAACCGTAGAACTCATTCCAAAGTGACTGTGTAACAAGTTCACTCACTGTGAGTTGCTTCACCATTGAAACTGGTTTGCATTGGGTTCTCACCAATTTCTACTCTCACTGCCAGACATTCTGTTTTTTTTTTCAAAATCACCAAAGTCCTCTAGAAATTGCTAAGAAAAATCCTAATATAATGTTAATGCTAAGTTCAGAATGATACATACCTGCTAGTCTGCTTATAATACATGGACACGGACTTTTGGTATTCGCAGGAATTCACAAGATCAGTGACTTTGATCATGTCGAATCCCTTTCACAGACATAATGGACAATATGTAGAAAAGAGCGTTGTTTGCTCCCTCTGCTTTGCTTCCTCTGCAGTCACTGCTGCCTCAACTCTGCTTTGCTAAATGACCAACCCACCTACAAGGAGGCAGGGTAATGAAAGGGGGTGCTTTCTGAACAATGGAAGGGTTCCTTTGCATTCAGCAGGCAGAGTTCCCCTTAGAACCCCAAATCAGAGAGGCCAGTTTTTACCTCTGTTTTGTAATTGAGACTGTCCCCGTCTTCCTCTACGGTCCAGTGAGACAGTGCTTATGAAATGATTAAAAAGAACGCAATCTGAAGGGCAGGACAGAGTAATGGGAAAGGAATGCTAGGTTAGCCGCTCTGCTGAGAGCTGGGAGAGGAGACGACGCACTCCTCAGCCTGCTGCTTTTATTCTCTGCTCTGCTCTCCAGCCACCTCCCAGGGCTCTTGGAGTCTTTATTTGCTCCATTTTAAACGGGTTAAAAGTTGTCCACTTAGAGAGAATTTGGTAACAAGTTACAAATCAAAAAGGAAAAGAAAAGAAGAAGAAGAAGAAGAAAATAAATAAAAATCCTTGAATTATATCAAGTTTCCAAAAGGTCATCACTGTCTCTGCTGTGGCCTTTTCCCCATTCCAAATCCTCTATCAATATGTCATAGTGAGTTAGGCAAAGACAAAAGAGAGACGCAGTGTGAAAACGGCACATATATCTAATCCTGACAAAGCAATGAATAGACCTTCACAAGTATAATTATACTTGTTTATTTGTTGCCACGTACAGAGAACTGATGAAAAAAATCCATCAAAGTGGTATTATGCAGACACCAAGAGCTGCTTTTCTTTGGTTGCTAAAGCCACATTGAGGCTTAAATTCCTTATTGTTAAATTCAGAAGAAAGAAAGGAAAAAAAAAGATTTTAGACTGGATTTTTTTTTTTTTGCATCAGTTGCTGACAGATCTTTTGTGTACCAGGCTGTATTAGTTCACACTGCTACTTCATTTTTACTCATACTGGAATTCGTAATAACAAACTACTGTACAGAAGCTTTTACCAGGGTCCGGTTTGCTGACCAAGGGAAGGGAGTGAAAGTGTCCTTTTCTCAGTCTTTTGATATAGCAAGACACAGGTAAGGTGCCTAGGTGGAAATGCCAGTTACAGCAGCATAGATCTTTGATCCCGACCTTTTCAGGTGGTTTCCTTTAAGTCAGCTTTCTCTGCAATTTCTTGCTTTAGTAGATGTTTAGTATTTCATAAAATATTGCACAACTTTTTTCCCACTACAATATTTAAAATGTTAGCAAGAAGGCAGGCAAATACAAGGATGTCAAAAGACTGAAAATATGAAGTAAAAAGGTTTCAAATCCCACTATTAAGAAGCCATTATGTTCCAATAGACACTAAATCAAATAACTTAACAAAAGCACATTTTTAGAGGTGGGATAGGGAGCCAAGCAAGCCCTTTTTTTTTTCTTGCAGGATAGAAATATATCAAAGTAAATGCAATCTGCATAGTTAATGTTTGTGAGCTTTACAATTTAAAACAGAAAAGCTGTAATTTTTCTTTGCTGGCAATCTGGAAACACTCTGGAGTTAATTACAGCTGATTCGGAGTGAACCGCACAAACAAAGACCAGTCTATGTCCAGACAATTATACTGCATTAACCAGCTTAGAGCTTC